GGCAGTGGGCAGAGGGGCCATGAGACCACGGTGGGCCATGAAAGCAGTCGGGTCTCAGGCAGGGGGCCCCCCAAGTAGCCCATGGACCATAAAGGCCAGTGGATCCTAGGCAGGGAGCTACATGGTGGGTGAGAGACCTCGGCGGGGCCGTGAGTTCCACAAGGAGTCACAGCTATGGCAGGTGAGAGACAGATAAATAGGCATGTCCTGCAGAGTGTGGTTGGATATCTATTTCGTGGGTTATGGAAGGGAAGGGGAGAAGAGGGAAGAGGAGAGAGAGAAGGAGAGGCAGAGAGAGAGAGAGAGAGAGAGAGAGAGAGAGAGAGAGATTTAAGGGTAACTGTAATTATTCACTCACAAATAAAGCTGCACTTCTGGTTTCTAAAGGTATGCACGTGTAGATGGGCCCTCAGGCAATTGCCTGAATGTTAAAGGGCCCTGCGTGAACCATGTGCTTACATGTGTGGTTACATCCACATATGACTCAGCTAAACCCTTGCGTGCATACATGAGCCCGTCATCTGCATCATCAGCATATGACATAGTTATGCCAATCCCCTGTGCGCATGTGCTAGGCAGCTTTTAAAAAGCTGGATGTGCTCTCTTCCTCTCTCTGTACACCGACTCTCAGGCCTGTATGCACCCTCTCTAATAAACTCCTAAGTGGGTTTGCTGCTTGTTCCATGTTTTCTTCTCGCTTGCACCAGGTAATTTCAGTAATTAACTGAAGCTCTGATAGCCCCCAACCCTCACGTGGGATGAGAAACTCCAGGCAGGAAAAGTGTTAACTGATAACATCTACAGACTACTAGAACCAGAGAAAACTCAGATACGTTCAGCATACTAACCTCCATTGGCATCCACAACCCTGAAACTGCAGCGGATCAGATGTGCAGACAGAATCATGCCACCCAAAAGTTCCCTCTTCCTTCCAAAGACCACACATGGTGATTTGAACGCGAATGGCCCTAGACACTCATATGTTTGAATAGTTGGTCCTCAGTTGGGTGGAACTTTTCAGGAAGGACTGGGAGACATGGCCTTGCTAGAGAAGGTGTGTCTCTGAGGATGGGCTTGGAGGTTTTGAAACACTAGTGCTATCCCTAGTGACTGCTCTCCATTTCTTTCCTTGTCTCTGCCTCCTAATTACAGACCATGTATAAGACCATGTATAAGACCATGTATAAGACCATGTATAGGGCCATGTATAAGGCCATGTATAAGGCCATGTATAAGACCATGTATAAGGCATGACATCATGTCTTTACTCTGCCATCATGGACTGTAACCCTATGAAATAGTAACTCCAAATTAAATACTTTCTTTTATAAGTGAGTTTGGTCACAGTGTTTCATTCACAGCAATATAAAAGTAACTAAGACAAAGACCATATATTGGTTGTCAGTCTGGTTGGGGGGAGGTCTGTTAAAAGACAATGGAGCCCCGACGGAGTAAGGCATAGTAGGAAAACACTGGATCACTGAAGGTATACCATTTAAGAAGACATTGGAAGGCCGGTGTCTCTCTTCTTCGCTCTTCCCGATTCTTTTCCCTTCATCCCCCCATTCCTTCTACTCTCTGTCTCTCCCAAGCCCTCAAACATGGTGTCGTATAACTACAGACTGGAAAGCACAGAAATTGTGAGTCAGAGCAAATCTTTTTTCCTCATGCACAGGAAACAGAAGACGCCCTGAGTGAATGAAGTCCTGAGTAAACATGGGCACGGTGGGTCAAGGCCTGCAAGATAAATTGACCCACGACAAACTGGCAAAGCCATTAGCCATATGGGCAAGGCTTAAGAGAGAGGCAAGGCTCTCATTGGAAGTCTGAGTGTTTATGAATGATTATCAGTGTGGACAAAGATTAGGAACTGGCACCATTCTCCTCCCAGCTGTTTACAGCGGAGACTGATCACCTACAGAGACCTCCTACTGAGACTAGCCCACCCCTCCCCCTTCTAAGAAACAGGCTTGATGTTCCTGGTTGTGTCTGTGAGGACACTACCTGATCTCAGATTCATTGCATGCGTGCTCCTGTGTCTCTTTTTTCTTCATTTCCCTTAGGCCACTAGCCAGGGTTGTGGGATTCAACCTGTGCCAGCTGCAATGCTTATAATAAGTTCTTTATCTCAGGTACTTTGTCATGACAGAAAGCGAACACACTGGCAATGTTTACATTGCCTTAAAGCCAAGGGACTTGGCTAAGATTAATCAGGTATACTATGCACATAATGAAAATTGTTCAGAAATAAATTCTGAAGCAACTAAGCGTCCAAAGCTTGAGCAGATAGTAAGGAGAAGGGAAAAACTCTACTAATTTGGTTCCAGTTGCTGTTATAAACACCATGACAAAAATCAACTGACAGGAAAAGGGGTTATTTGGCTTTATGCATCCTAATCACAATTCATTCGAAAAAGGAACTAAAGCAGGCAGGAACCTGGAAACATGGAAACAGGAACTGAAGTAGAGACCAAGGAAGAGAACTGCTGGCTGTGATGTTCCCCATGACTTTCTCAGCCTCATTTCTTATACAGCCTAGTACCACCTACCTGCTTACCCAGGGATAGAACTGGCCACAGTGGCTGAGACCTCCTACATCAATCGTTAATCTAGAAATGTTCCCAGAGTTTTGTCTATAGGCCAATCTGATGAAGGCATTTTCTTAACTGAGATTCCTCTTTTCAGAGGACTGTAGCTTATGCCAACCTGGGACAAACAACAACAATAAAACAGACAAACAAACAAAAAACCCCAAACTTGTGTATGTAAAAAGAACACTTTAAATGAGACAGGGAAAGAGCCAATTACTAAGTAATAAAAAAGAAACCATCCTGGAAGCCCAGAAACGAGAAAACAAAAGAGAAAGAGACAAGTTCAGTGAAGAACAGCACAGGCCGTCGGAGCAGCTGGAGAACCAACAGCTGCCAACTTTGAAGGAGCACAGGAAATAGAATAAAAGCCTTTTCCAGGCTACTTGATCACACTGTATGTGATGTAGGTGGGTCTTCTTTCTATGTATTGCTTTCATTGGTAAATTAATAAAGAAAACTGCTTGGCCTGATAGATCAGAACACAGGTAGGCAGGGAAGACCGAACAGAATTGTGGGAGAAAGAAAGCAGAGGCACTCAGATGCCATGGCTCTCCTCTCCGAGATGGACGTGGGTTAGAATCTTCCTGGTGATATACAGATTATTAGAAATGGGTTAATTAATATGTGAGAGTTAGCTAATAAAAGGCTAGAACTAATAGGCCAGGCAGTGTTTAAAAGAATACAGTTTCTGTGTAATTATTTCGGGTAAAGCTAGCCAGGCAGCCAGGAGTTGGGCGGGATGAACAGCAGCCCACTACTCCTTTCACACTGTGTGAAGATGCCTCTGTTCTACTTCACCTGCCTAAGGCATCTTTTGATTGGTTTAACAAAGAGCTGAATAGCCAATAGCTAGGCAGCCAAGGATAGGCAGGAATTCTGGTGGAACAGAGTAACTGGGCAAAGACTCAAAGAGTTGGAGATTCTCCAGCGCGACACTGTGGAGGTCAGACTTAAGGATACTGAGGAGAGGCAACTAGTCATGTGGCAGAACATTGATTAATAAAATGGGTTAAATTCAGTGATAAGAGTTAGTTGGGAAGAAGCCTAAGGTAAGGCCAAGCTTTCCTACTTAATAAGTTCCCATGTTCCCATGTTCATGAGCTGGGGTTCCAAAGAAAGTCTGTTACACAGGGCAGCCACGGAAGCTAGCCTGGAATGAACCTAAAAATGCATGAGTGGTGAGGAAAGGGAGAAGGGATCAGAGGGCAACTCTTTTGAGAAGTTTTGAAGGGAACACAGACTGGGATGTGATATCTGAGAGAAAGACAGTTCTGAAACAGCTGCTATATGAAGATACTAGAGAATATGTGCATGGTGATAAGAATATTCAAGGGAAGAGCTAAGTGGCCCAGCGTGACTGAGGAAAAGGCACCCACTGCTCAGGGATTGACGAAGTCAGTCTTATCAGGGTGCAGGCCCTTGAGATAATGATCGCTTCTTGCAGGAAGGGGTTAAGAGGCCGGGTTCAGGTACTGGGATGAGGTAGATGCTGTGGTGATTAGAGAAATGATTCATTGCCAGTTTCCACTTGCGTTGGGTAAGACAGTGATCTCATCTCTCTGAGAAGTGGAGCATCAGGGGGAAGATTTTGGGAGAGAGGCGTTAGAGAGTGGCAAAGAAGAAAGACAGAAGTGTAAACTCACTGCTAGGTGGCACAGATAATCCACACAACGTGTGTTGTAAGTATCTATACTTAACATGAAGTCGACTTCTTGGAGTGCTTTTCTCCAGCAAAATAGAGAGTGGACAAGAGAGAGCTCAGAAGTTAAGAGCACTCGCTGCTCTTGCTAAGGACTCTTGGTTTAGAGTACTGACTCAGCAACTCACAACTAGTTCTAACTCTAGCTCCAGAGGATCTGATTGTAGTGGTTTTTAATTTGTATTTTAATAAACAAAGCTTGCATGGAGATCCGAGAGTAAAACAGCTCCACTGATCAGCCTTAGAGACCAAGCAGTGGTAACACATACCTTTAGTCACAGTAGCCACACTAGTTTGCCATAGAAACCAGGCAGTGCGTGCCTTTAATCCCAGCCCTAGAGAGGCTTATAAAATGGGAGGAGACAGCCCCCAGTCTCAGTCTCATTTTGAGATTCCTGGAGGCAGGATCGCCATTTTGGGTTGAGGTCGAGGTAAGAGTCAGTAGCTGGCTGCTTTGCTTTTCCGGTCTTCAGGCTGAACCCCAATTTTCCTCTCTGAGTTTTTATTAGTTGTGTATTATATGATGCTCTCTTCTAGCCTCTGTGGGCACCAGACATCCATGTGGTGCATGTACATACATATAGCATATGGTACACACACACACACACACACACACACACACACACACGTATTCATGCTTAAAATAAAAATAAATACATCTTTGAAAAAAACTGAAAATAACGAGATATTTATGTATATAGAAAGGGATGGAGCAGGAACCAGTACACAGGAGCTTAGGGATGGCTTTCCGGGTGGTTTGAGCAGAACTATGAAAAGTGAGGGTAGTTTCCCAGCATCCTGTCCAAGGACTGGAAGAGCAAATCTCTTAAGTGGGAGCATAAGTCTGTATTCCGTGTTGCTTGCGTAGTTTGAAGAGGAGTGGCGAGACATGAAATGGAATGGAACCCATTTTCATAATTCCTGGAGATGAGGATAAATGAAAATAATGTTAAATATGCAGAAGCTCGATTTTGAGCTAGAGTAGTCCTCAGAGCTCATTTGTCCCAATGTATATTCTTATACAAGAAAAATGACTTAACGAGGCTGGAGCAGTCATGAAACGGACAACAGAAGACCCAATCCTTGAACCCCTGTCATGGAGTTCAAAGTTGAACCACTTTCTACTATACTATACTTCACTATATTATACTATACTATACTATACTATACTATACTATACTATACTATACTGTTTCCTTCCTTCCTTCCTTCCCTCCTTCCCTCCCTCCCTCCCTCCCTCCCTCCCTCTTTCTTTCTTTCTTTCTTTCTTTCTTTCTTTCTTTCTTTCTTTCTTTCTGGTTTTTTGAGACAGGGTTTCTCTGTGTAGTTTGGCTGTCCTAGAACTTGCTCTGTAGACCAGACTAGCCTCAAACTCATAGAGGTCCACCTGCCTCTGCTTCCTGAGTATGGGATTAAAGGTATACACCACCACTACCTGGTCTCTTATATTTTCTTCTCCCTTTCTCCTCCTCGCCCTCATCTTCATCCTTGTCCCCCTCCTCCTCCTCCTCCTCTTCACCTTCATCCTCATCTTTGTCCTCCTTGTACTCTTCCTTCTCTTCCTCTTCTGCTTCTTCATGGGTCTCCTAGAACTTATTTTACAGACCAGACTGGCCTTAAACTCACAGAGATCAGCTTGCTTCTCTGACTCCAGAGTAAATGTGTGCTCCATCATGCCCAGCTACTACACTACTTTTCTAAGAATAAAGCTCATAGTGTCCCACAACAGAAGAGGGCAAGCTGCAGTGAGACAATATTCTTCAATTAAAATGACTTACATTGAATACCATAACAAATCTTCTTTTGTCTCTCCAGCTAGCTCTCAAATTATAACACGGAGACATCTTATTAACTATGAAAGCTTGATCTATAGCTTAGGCTTGCTCCTAACTAGCCCTTATAACTTTACATTTATATTAATGTACATTCTCTCACATGGTGTCAGAACTCTCTTACATCTTGCACCTTCTGTTTCCTCTCTGTGCCTCCTGGCATCTCCCATGCACCTAGATTTTTCCTCCTCTTCCTTTCTCTCCCCAGAAGTCCTGCCTACACTTCCTGCCCAGCTATTAACCTCTCAGCCTTTTTTCACACCAATCACAGCAATATACCCCCAAACACTATACAACTGTCCCACAAAGAACACCAAAAATTCTGCTCTAATAATAAAAAGGATGCTAAGCATTTACTATCTAACCCTTCTCCTAGTCTGTTTATCTTTTACACCGTGGGCTCTTAGTCATAAGCATGGACAATAGATATGGAACTTTATCAGGAAAACTATGTTAGTAACAGAGTCAGAAAGGAACTCAACAACCAAATCTAAAAAGGGATAAAATTCCAGATGGTTTGCAAAATCTCTGGTGTGGGAAGTCCTTTTATATGTATTGCTTTTATTGGTTAGTGAATAAAGAAGCATCTTTGGTTTGTGATAGAGCAGACTAGAGCTAGGCAGGAAAACTAAACTGAATGCTGGGAGAACGTAGGCGGAGTCAGTGAGATACCATGTAGCCCCTGCCAGAGACAAAATGGAACAGAACTTTACCCGGTAAGCCACAGCCATGTGGCGATACACAGATTAATAGAAATGAGTTAATTTAGGATATAAGAGCTAGCTAGCGATACACTTAAGTGATTGGCCAAGCAGTGTTTTAATTAATACAGTTTATGTAATTATTTCTGGTTTGAATGCTAGGGAAACAAATGAGCATGCCTCCGACAACAGACCTCAATAGCAGCAACTCTCAAAGGATGCACCCATCTTGATGTGTTTCTGTTGGAGACTTGAATTCCTGGTAAGAAACTTTGTTTATCCTAGCCTTCATAAGTGGCCTATGATCACAGGATAGAGTTCTATGATTGACACTCTTCTTACATCATCTAGAGTAATAGAAGAATTAACCTTCACAAGATTGAGATCTTAAATGACCAAAGCCCAAACTGCCCCACTGTCATAGATATTTTATTCAGTCCTTAGAACATAGTGTGGCAGTTTGTATTATCTACACTTTACTCAGGAAAAAACTGAGGGTCAAAGAGGTTAATTACATTCCCAAGTTCACAGAACTAAAAATCGACACTCACAGGTCTAATGGTTTCTCTGGGCTCAGACCTGAGGCTCTTTTTTTATGAGTGTTTTTTTTTTTCTCTCTCTCTCTTTCTGCTCCTTTTCTGAACATTATTCTTGAACCTGCTGCTGGCTTAGGGCAAATTTTACAATAGACTCACATGCAGTGGGAGAGTCCTTGATTAAAGTGTAGGTTTGAAAATTGAATGTACAGCCGGTGCTGCACTGAATCTATCTCACAGACAGAGCATGTTTAACCCCATTGCATTTGGTTCTTTCTACGTCATACAGCACTTTTCTGAGTGTGAAAGTTATTAATACATTTTAAAGATTTATTTCATTCTTATTTTTAGCTATGTGTACGTGTATGAGTCTACGTGTGAGTATGTACATGTGAATGCCATACTAACATTGTTGTCTTCTAACAAGAGACAACAGATATAGAATTTAAGGTGTTTGTGAGCCACCCAATGTGGGTGTTAGGGATTGCGTTTGAGTCCTCTGCAAGAGAAGGGCACACTCTTCACCTCTGAAACATCGCTCCAGTCCAGTTTTTAATCTGTCTGAGTCAGTTTTAGTGTTCTGTGTTAGTCAGTTTTCTGCCACAACAAATACTTGACACAGTTTACAAAGAAAAATGTCAGTATGAGCTCTAGTTGTAGAGGTATCAGGTCTGTGATGAGCTGCATTGCTTTGAGCCTGTAGCATGGAACCATGCATGTACATCATACTGCAAGTGCTTACCTTCAGCCAGAAAATGAGAAAAGAGAGGAAGAAGAAAGGACTGAGGACCCATTACCCCACTAAGGACATGAAGTTATTGCAGTGACCTAAAGACCTCCCTCTAGGCTCTACCTCTGGAAGGTCCTATCACTTCCCAATAGCCCCAAGCAGGGACCATGTCTCCAACTCATGGATCTTTGTAGCTGTAAGAAATAGCACAGACTGAGTGAGATAAGCTTCAGGGGTTTATTTTTCATAGTTTGAGCATTCAAGATCAAAGTATAAGAGAATTTGATTTCTGGGGAAAGCTCCCTTCCTGACTGGGAAGTAGCTACTGCTGACACCACCTCTTCTTCTTTCCTCTCCTTCCTCTTCCTCCTTTAATAAGGTTTGTTCATGGGGCTGTGGAGATGACTCAGTGGTTAAGAGCACTGACTGCTCTTCCAGAAGACCCATGTTTGATTCCTAGCACCCACCTGGCTGTTCACAGCTGTCAATGACACTAGTTCTGGGAGATCTATGCCGTCTTTTGGGCTCTGTGAGCACTAGGTATGCCTGTGGTGCAAACCCTCATACACATAAACAATAATTTTAAAAAATATTTACTTGTTTTATATGTCTAAGTATTTGCATGCATGATGTGTATATACATACCTCACATGCGCCTGGTGCCTGCAGAAGCCAGTAGAGAGCATCAGACTCCCTGGAATAAGAGATACAGACAGCCGTGAGTCACCATGTGAGTGCTGGAACCAAGCCTTCTTCCTCTGCAAGACCAGCAAATGTTCTTAACGACTGAGCCATCTCTTTAGCACAAATAGCCAACGTGTCACTGTATCCTCACAAGGCAGAGAAAGCCTGAGTTTTCATCATCTTACAAAAGCTCCAGTTCTTCTGTAGAGCTCCCCTGCCCCACCCTCAGTCAGCACCTCTTCCAAATCCTAGCCCTTCTTAAAGCTTGATGTACATTCAAATACATCAGCGGTCAGAACTTGCACATATGCACTTCACAGGTAATAGGAACATCCTTCTTTTACACTACCCACCACTTCAACAGAAGGTGAAGCACTTGACGGATACGAAATTCAGTGCTTTTATAAATACAGGGCGATTGTTAACAACTCCAAAGCGACAAAAATAAAAAGAGAGTAGGCTGGGGAAAATATAGGTCTACCCACATTTTGGCAAGAAATTTTGCTTGCTGCTTTCTAAGAGGTGATAATTGCTGTTTAGAATTAATTTGATTTAGTAGATAAGAAAATTTCATCTAGCAAAAGAATCTTTTCTTATTAAAAGTTTCCAGCTCTAGATTTTAAGGGCATAATACTTAGTTGACTTTGAACTTAAAAAACAAAAACTGAAGTAGTAGTCAAGATCCCTAAAGTGGAGAGGGAGTTTTTGGCTTTTTAAAGTCTCTACTTCATTTAATTAATAAGAAAAAGAAATCAGTTTTATTTTTATAAAGGTTAGTTTTTAGCACCATGAGTAATTAGTATGAGACAATGCATCTTTATATCCAACTTTGAAATTATTTAGTCTATAAATCAATACATAAAACTGGGTGTTTTGACATTCACGTATTGAAGCTGGTGAATTATGTTCATTTTTTCTCCTTTTGAAATATCGGATTCACCATCGAATTAATTTCTTAGCAAAAAAAAAATCTAGACATAGAAACACATTGAAAATTTAACAAAGTAAAACATAGACATCGAATTAATTTCTTAGCAAAAAAAATCTAGACATAGAAACACATTGAAAATTTAACAAAGTACAATATTCATATTGTATAATATTCATGTCAAGATCTTAGAGTCGACTACTAGTTAAAAGAGCTGCCAATGCCCACTCCTACTTCATAACAGTCCAGTGTAGTCTAGCACACCCCCACCCCACATGAGATTCCCTAGCAGCTGGACGTGGGTATCTTAGGTAGGCTTTCTATTGCTGGAAAGAGACACCATGATCATGGCAACTCATAAGGAAAGCATTTAATTAGGGGGCTCACTTACAGTTTCAGAGGTTCAGTCATGGTGGCTAGCATGACGGCATGCAGGCAGAGGTGGTGGTTATATCTTGATCAGAAACTGAGACACTGAGCACAGGAAACCTCAAAGCCTGCCCCCACAGTAGCACACTTCCTCCTACAAAATCATACCTATTCCAACAAAGCCGCACCTCGTAATAGAGCCATTCCCTGTGAGATTATGGGGGCCAACTACATCCAAACTTCCATCTTCCATTCCCTGGTCTCCATAATCTTGCAATAATATCATAATGCAAAAATGCATTTAGTCCAGCTTCAAAAATTTCCATAGACTATGATAGTCTCAACAATGTTTTCAAGTTCAAAGTCTCTTCTGAGATTCATGCAATCTCTTCACTATAATCACCTGTAAAATTAAAAATAAAAAGCAGATCACATACTTTCAACATACAATGGCATAGGATATACTTAAGCATTCCAAAATTCAGGGAAGGGAGCATAGAGAGGAAATATTAGACCAAAGGAAGACTGAAAACCAGCTGGGTAGACTCCAAACTCAGCATCTCCATGTCTGATGACAAAGTGCTCTTCAGATCTCCAATTCCATTCAGCTTTGTTGACTACAACACACTTCTTCCTTTTGGATTGGTTCTACAACCTATTAGCATCTCTCCTTGGCAGATATCCCACAACTCTGGAATCTCTAACATCTTGGATTCTACAAGACTGTAGGGCCCGGTCTACCCTTGCTCCTTGGAGTACATATTGAGGACAGTTTCTGGCCAGTCAGCTAAGCATCCTGTTTGCTCCTATGCTCCCTCTGCCCTAGCCTGGTGATTAGCTGAAGGGCACTGTTTCATTCTTTGGTATGGTAATTTCCCACCTGCCTGGGAGGAAATCCTTATGCAGCAGCCAGGGCCCACCTGCCTGAGAGGTAATCCTTATGCAGCAGCCAAGTATATAGGTTTTCCCCTAAATTGAATAAAGCGGCATTCGGCTGATCTCCTTTCGAATGACCCAGGTCTCTTGTGTGTTTCTTTCAATCTCCAGGCCTTTGCCCGGACTCACATAAGGTACAGTGGTACACGAACTGTATCGAGAGGGTAACACAGAATTGGGTGTTACCCAAGACCATCCAGGCTTCAACTTCACAGCTTCACTCAATGGCCTCTCTACTAGTCCTCCATTCATGGACACCCTTGACACATAGTTTGCTTGAATTAATAGATCATTTAAGAAAGGAAAGTGTCATGTGAAAGAAGCGGCAGGTTGAATTCAGGAAAAAGGTAAAGTTGAGTAAGTATGAGCAGCTCTTACAGAAATTCAAGTTCTTCACCAATAACCTGATGCAAATATGACAGTAAGGCATGGATCAGCCTCCACAAAAATATCTCTTGCCAGGTATAGGCATGAGGGTTTTGAAATATTAGTAAAGAATATGCAGATGCATGAAAAATAATAAGACAGAAACCATAGAACAGTACCAGAAGGGCATTTCAGTGAATACTGAAATCACCTACATTTATTTTTCCATAGCTTTTATACTCAATGTAAATGGGGGGGGGGTGAAGAATGTAATGAAAACTTTATTAGCACGATACAAATGACAACTTAATCAGTCAATCGCTCTAACATTCTGAGACATCAAATCATTAGCATTCTGTTGTTTAAGTGTGAAGCTGCTGTAGATCACACACCCTGAAGGCTACCCCTCCCCAGGTGACCCCATAGTTACAAAAGAAGGAGCAGAAGTCCATTCGCATATCCTGATCACCTGTCAGGATGGCATGGACCTACTTGTATGAGCTATTTTAATGTTACAAGAATCAAGCAATCACACCTTGAGTTGGGATGTGCAACTAGGCTTGTCAACCATTTGAGCATCCTCCAACTCTGACTGTCAGACAAGGTAGAAATGGGCCCACAGTTTTGGGCCTCCACAGATCAGCATGAGAAGAGTCAGACTCAGGATCTATGACCCCTGGCCAAAGATGAGCAAAGACAAGGCTTTCGCAAGCTGATTTTGTCAGGTATGTCTCATAGTTGACTAATGCAGGATTCCCTGAGTAGATGAGCCACTTCTAAAATCATGGTTTGGTTTTTTTTTGGGTTTGTTCTGTTTTCAAGATGGTTTCTCTGGGTAGTCTTGGATGTCCTGGAACTTGATCTGTAGACCAGGCTGACCTCGAGCTCGGAGATCCACCTGTGTCAGCCTCCCACGTGTTGGGATTAAAGGTGTGTGTCATCACTGCCCAGTGTATGATCATGTTTTACAATCATAATAAATTTGGTTACAAATGCAACACATGCTACATAGAAAGTACATTAAAACATCACAGCAGGTTATCTGAGAGGGGTTTTGGTGAGAGTTCAGTGATGATGGTGCGCCAGAGGCTTTGAATCAGACCAGCAACTCATTGCAAAGAACGTTTTGCAGGTAGGGCTGTTGGGATGAAAGGGTGCACTGTGTGAAACTGCAGCTCCAGATGTCACTAGGATGGATAAAGAGGTGTTGGAAAGACAGAGGAGCAAAGTGGAGTTTTTGATTGCTTTTAATTGTTTTTTGTTTTTTTTTTTTGTTTTCTTTTTTGGTATGTGTGGGTGTGTGGGGCAGGTTGAAGTGGGATGGGAGGAACTGGGTGATAGGGGAGTTCAGCCAATCACATTCTGTTCTTGGGGCGTGCCGCCCTCAGGCTAAAGCCTGCCTATAAACCTAGCAAGCGCGCTCGCTAGCCCCTTTTTCGCCTGGTTCCTGCGTCCGGACTGATCATTTGGATTCTGGTGTAAGCTGTTGTAAGTCTTACTTCTGTTTATTAAAGCTGTATATTTCGTATCAAGATAGTCTGGGAACTTTTCATTACCTGTCGCCCTGTGGCTTCAACTGGGAAGTGAGCAGAATTGGGGAGCATGATGTGAAGTTCCCAAAGAATCAATAGAGAGTTATGTCATATATATAAAAAAGATATTATCTTGAGACGACAAAGGTGAACATAAAAAAGCACAATACTTATAAAGTTTTAAAATTGCAACACTGTGGGTTGAAACCAGAGCTTCCTGCATGTTAGCAAACAGTCTACCACAGACTTATAATACGTCTATTGTGAAGTTGTTCACAAATGGTTTACATGGTAATATAAATGACTTTTCATTTTAGAATAACACTCTATTAAGAAGATAATTCCAGGCCAGGTGTGGTGGCACACTCCTTTAATCCTAGCATTTGTGAGGCAGAGGCAGGTGGAACTCTGTGAGTTCCAGGGTAGCCTGGTCTACAAAGTGAGTTCCAAGATAGCCAGGGCTGTCACACAGAGAAACCCTGTCTACAAAAAAAAAAGAACAAACAAAAAACAAATTAATTTCACAATTATAATTTCTTTGCTTTAGTATATTTTTTCAAAGCTGATACTGTGTTATCAGAGGAGTCTTTCCTCATTTTTTCTTTTTAGGTACTTGTCAGATGCCATGGTAACACGGAGTCCATGAAGCATGGCCTAGGAACAGCAATACAGTCAATATGATTGGAGGAGAGATAACAGGAAAGAGAAGGAATGAAGTTAGGAAGATAGAAATGTGTTTGATAACATCAGGCTGTATAAACTGGGCAAGAGTTTGGATAAAATAGAAATAAAATATATGCACACTACAGAAAACACACATCTCTGTGGTTGGTCATCACAATCTAAAGGCCATTCTAGGATGTTAAGGTGTCCCATGAGAGGCTAGAGCACTCCAAGCCACCGTGGTTTATCTTACAAGCCGCAACACTAGTCACACAGCACCTGAGGAAAGCCTGGAATAGAATATTGGAGAGCAAAGTAGATATAAGTGAAGGGGAGGAAAGGCCAACAGCAGGGGACAATGTTATGTTAAAATGGATCTCACTAGTGTCCTCAGGATGGTCTAAAGTTCACCATTAAAATTGTGCTGAAGCTAAAGGAGAAGGCTAGAGGGATGGATCTAATAAAGACTCGAGTGACAAACTGGATCAACAAATCCCAAGGCTAGCTATGAAAACAATAAAATCATCAAATGTCTAGCCAGTAAAGTAAGAGACGAGGAGAGAAGATGCAAATCACTAATGTCGTGACTGAAAGGAAGGCCATCACTACAGATGTTAGAGACATTAGAAGGATAACGATTGGCCTGCATGAGCAACTCTGTGACCACACACTGGAAAGCCTAAATGGAACGAATTAGTTTCTTGGAAGATAGGGTCTGTCAAGTTACACAGTTAGGATCCAGCACTTAGGCGTCTGGGTCTGGAAGATTACAAGCTTGAGAACAGTCTGGGCTACAGTTTGTGAGCATGGCCCCCAAATAGACAATGAATAAGTAAAACTTACAGTTGACATCATAAGTTGAAAGTTTCTTGCACCGGTCAGGAACAAAGCAAGAATGCCCCCTCCCACTACCGTCTTTCCACATCCAAGTTCTAGCTGATACAACAAAACAAGAAAAGGAAATAAAGCATAGAGACTGAAAAAGAGGAAACAAAATTGCCTTTGTTTGCAAATGACATGAGAGTCTACTGAAAATCTTAAAAAATCAAAACAAAACAAAAATCTTGAAATGTTTCGAGCTGACAAATGATAGGATTCAAGGTTAATACACAGGATGCAATTTCTTTCCTATATGCCAATAACGAACAAGTGGAACTTGGAGCTAAAACCACATCACTGGTGTAGCGTCTCCTACACTGAAACAAGCAGTTTCAAACTAGCAAAGTGTGTACAATCTCTACGAGGACGACTACAACTCTCTGGAAGACCCCATGAAAGACATACATGAATTGATTTACGTCGCATTCATGGCTACGAAAAGTGCAATGCTGTGATGTCAGCTTTTCCCAACTTTATCCACAGATTCAGCATCATCTCAATTTCAGCATATCATTGTATGATGACAGAAAGATCTTAAACTTTAAACGGGGAGGCAGAGACAGAGTAGTAAATTCAATATAAGAGGGGAAGAATCAGTGAGGAGGCAACTACTCAACTTCAAGATTTACTATAAATCTGCACCAACCAAGACGGGTTTGTTACTGTGGCTTTCATGCCCCTCCCTCACACATACGT